CCCACATGCCCCAAACCATGCATGGGAAGCTGCCCCCCGAGTTGTCTCCCGAGAACCCTGCTGCCCTGTGGAAGCCACCCAGAGGAAGGGGACCGGCACGGGGCAGGAGGGGCACTGATGGGGACCCCACCCAGCCCCTCTGCTGCTCCCAGCTGTGCCCTGCCAGCTATCTCGGACCTGGAGAGGCAGTACCCTCCTGGTACCCTGAGACTTCTTCCTAAGGGCTTCTCCTCCAGACGTCCCCAGTGTGCACCCCTGCCACGGCCCACCTCAGGGCTCCCCTCTACCCCCCTCCCACCAGCATGATGCCCACCGCCCCCACACCTCCCTGCTGTGTCTTTGGGCCCCCCCACTCCACTCCATCCCGACATCACCTCATCATGAGTCGGGGGGCAGCGGAGTCTCAGGCTGCTCACCACCTCTCCTTTGTCCTCACTTTGCCTGCTGACCCCGCCCAGGCCCCAGGTCCAGCAGCCCCCCCACCCCCTCCCCCCCAGTGTCCGGACCTCCTCCGGGCTCTCCTGGGACAGAAGCTTGGGTCAGGGGTGGCATCTCTGCGTCACAGAAAGCCCTCAGGGCTCGTCTGCAGGACTGGCCACGCAGGTGTGCCTCTGGACCAGCAGCAGCGGCATTGGGAGCTCGTTAGAAAGGTGGCCCCGTTGAGGCGTCCTGAGCCCGGGTCTGCATATTCGCCAGCCCTGGGAGTCCCATGTGCACGCTGCAGTTTGAGAAGCGGCACGCTGTGGCCCATAGGGGTGCCCTGGCTCCGTCCCTCTGTTGTCCCCAACACGGCCGCTCTCTGCCGTGCTTTCTCGCCCCACAGTCCTGGTTTGTGTTTGCGACTCCACCCGCCCCGGCTCTGTGACGAACTGGCATAAACAGGCGAGTCCCCCACTCCCCTGCCGGGTCTGGAGAATGAGATGCAGCTTGGCCAGGAGCAGGACTACGGGATGCAGCTGACCGCAGACCTCACTGTCAGGGGACCGCCCAGCCCCTGCTTCCAGACTGTTCTCGGGCTGCTCCCTGCTTCCGCCGGGGGATGGGGAGGTTGCACCCACGTGACGGGCTGTGGGCCTGGGCCACCAAGGCCACCCAGGTGTTGGAGAGGGTACCAGTGTGGCTGAATCCCAGAAACAGAGTTCACTTGAGCTCTGTGCCAAAAGTGAGCTCATCAGCCTCACTCAGCTGCTGGGCTGTGGCCAGGGCGGCCCCTCCAAGCCAGCTGTTTTGGGGTGGGAGGCAGCTGTCTGGGCCGTGTGTGTCCTGCATACTAGGAGCCCCAGAGGCTGCCAGTCTCTCCCACTGCCCCTCCCTTCAGCACCACCAGCCCAAGCCTGCAGCACTGGGGTCCCTGGGGGCGGCTTCTTAGAGATCCAAGCATAAGCTGCCCTGTCCCCTGGACATATGAGCTCAGAGACCCGCGGCTGGGGGCCAGAAGCAGGGCTCCCCTTGGAGTCCTTTCCCCCGGTGGACACAGCGGACGTTCCTCCATGAGGTGGGGGTGGTGCTGCTGGCCCCGGCTGCCGGCGGCACAGACCGCAGCTTTGCTCGGGGACAGCAGTTGTGTGGGCGCGTGCGAGGCTAGAAAGGTCTCCACATCCTGAAGATGGCTCAGCTTCTAAAGTCTGTGCACCTGTGGGTCAGTGTCCCCAATGTGGTGGCAGACAAGATGGGTCTGCAGGAGGGGTGTCCTGGGTCCTGGCATGTGGGCAGCCTCCCTGTCTGCTTCTGGGGTCAGCTCTCCCTCAGCACGTCCCCTGACACCCAGGAGGGGTGCAGGGACCCTGAGGAGGAGGGCTTCTGCCTGGCCCCGTGTAGGAGGCTGCCTGGGGACGGGAGGCTGGGAAGGGGGCTGCTCTAGTGCACAGGGTGGACTTGGCCTGGGAAGCAGCTTGCAGGGGACTGAGAGCCCCCAGAGCCAGACCACGGGATTCACCCCATCTGTGCTCATCTGCTGTGAGACTTTGGGCAAGTGACTCAACCTCTCTGAGCCTCCATTCCTCGACTCCGGGCTGGAGAGATAGTGGTCCCTACCTCATGGGGCCGTCATGAGGATTAAAAGAAGTAGATCTGCCCTTGGCAACCCCAAAGCACAAGAAATTCCTCTCCTAGAAAGAGGGTCCTGGCCTGGCCTGGGAGACAAGTTAATGTTCAATTCCTTTATATGTGTGTATATATATGTATGTATGTATATTTTGAGTAGGCTCTACACCCAGCATGGAGCCCAACACAGGGCTTGAACTCACGACCCTGAAATCAAGACCTGAGCTGAAACCAAAAGTCAGACACTTAACTGACTGAGCCACCCAGGCACCACCACCCCTTTGAATTTCACTTTTAATTTTATTTATTTATTTTTTTGACTTGGGCTGTTGATGACGGGTTTTTTCCTGCATTCTGATCAATGCTTGTTTGTGAGGCTGGTCTTCTGATTACAACAGTGTGGTGTGGAAGGGAAAATGGGAGTGGGGCTGAGGCCCTGGGGCCTGCCTGTGGCCGTGTATTTGCATAAACAGGAACACTCCGCTGAGGGCATGGGGCCCAGCATGGTGGGCTCTGCAGCAGAAAATGGGTGTGTTTGGGCCTCAAGAGAGAATGTTCTGGGTTTGGAAGCTCAAATGAGTTATGGTGTTGTGAGGTCTGATGAGGAATGGCAAAGGGAACCTGCCTGTCCACGACAGGGAGTCCCCACCAGGATCAAAGCTCCATTTCAGCGAGAAGGGGAGACACGGAGTCAGGCAATGAGAGTGAGAATCCACAGTAACCAAGCACTTGGTGGGTTTACAGGATCGGCCCATTTCCCTCCCAGCAGCCCCGAGACGGGGACACTGGGTGCCTATTTTTGGAGGAACGGAAATTGAGATGATCCATGGTGCCTTGAGGAACCGCCCCCTTGGCAGTGCCTCTCCTGGAGAATGGGGTGGATTCTGTTGGTCTGGAGGTTGGTGGTGTGCACACTGGAAACGAGTGTCTCTCAGCCCTCTGCTCTCCTGCGTCAGGAAGGGTGAGAACCCCGGTGACAGTCTCCGCTCAGGGCTTCTGCGGCCCTGCAAACCCCTCCAAGGAGGGTGTGACTGGTTGACTGGGAAGGGAAGTCTCAGCAGAGCACCTGCTGTGGACAGAGCTCGCCCGGAGATGCTCTCCACTCTCCTCCCTGTTGTGGTCCCCCGGACTCCCGCGGCCGGCCCAGGACGGAGCGCGCCCCCGCAGCGGACCCCCGGCCTCCCGCGGCCGGCCCAGGATGGACCGCGCCCCCGCAGCGGACCCCCGGCCTCCCGCGGCCGGCCCAGGACGGAGCGCGCCCCCGCAGCAGACCCCCGGCCTCCCGTGGCCGGTCCAGGACGGAGTGCGCCTCCACAGCGGACCCCCAGACTCCCGCGATTGGCCCAGGACAGAGCGTGCCCCCACAACGGACCCCCGGACTCCCACGGACGGCCCAGGACAGAGCGTGCCCCCACAGCGGACCCCCGGCCTCCCACGGACGGCCCAGGTCAGAGCGTGCCCCCACAGTGGACCCCCGGCCTCCCGTGGCCAGCCCAGGACGGAGCGCGCCCCCACAGCGGACCCCCGGCCTCCCGTGGCCAGCCCAGGACGGAACGCGCCCCCGCAGCGGACCCCCGGACACCCACGGCCCGCCCAGGTTGGAGCGTGCCCCTGCAGGGGTCCGGAGCTCTCTGAACTCCTGCGGCCGGCCCAGCACAGAGCCCGGGAACCGGGGTTTCCCTCGCCTCGCAGCTTCCTCGCTGGCCTGCCCAGCCCGACCCAGGAAGGTTGTCAGGCAGGTTGTGGGGAGCGTGGCTGCCGTGGAGTCCCCACTCCCGGCACTGAAGCTCAAGTGACAAACAGACCTTCAGTGCCAAAGAGCCAGAGCAGCTCCGAAGACAGTCCTCTGTGGGGCCACACGGCTGTGAAGCGGGATGGTGGCTTCTCGCTGTGTGTCCATGCAGAAAGCCTACTCCGGATGAAAGCTGATGCCTGTGTGTGCATTCACCTGGAAGGCCTTTGCCCTGACTGAACCCGACTGGTGTAAACAGCTGGAGCAGGGGGAGCACCGAGAGCCAGCAGCGCCCCTGCCATCGCCCCCTGAAACCTGAGGCAGAAGGACACGTGGACAGCCCTGGCTTTGTTATGTAATGAGTGCAGCCCACAGAGCATTTCCGGACTGCATCATTTACACTTGCTCCGTGTAATTCTGATTTTCATTTAAACCCAGAGTGGCTTCCTCACTATGTTCCCAGATCTGGAAATTAGCAATTCAAGTCGGTGCCTCGGGCGTGCCCTTCTTCCCTCCGCAGGGACTGGCTGGCGGCGGCAGCGGCTGGCGCTGCACAATTGGCTTGGATGCAGAGTTACCCGACGGAAGCGGACCTCCCCACTCTCCACTGTGACCCAGGCCCATGCCCTGGGCTGAGGCAGGATGGAGTTGTTATTCCACAGCGACTCGGCATTCTCTTGACCACAGATGTTGCTGTTGCAAGCAGCCATTTCTTGCCTCCCGTTTCCAACAGATGCTTGTGAGCCTGTGGACGCCTCGCGGATTCTCTCCCAAAAGTGTAGCAATGCCATCAAGAGCGATTTTATAACATGGACACACAGGGGGACCTCAGATGCCAGGACTGATGTGACGTATGGATCATAAAACTTGTTTTGGAGGGTTTAGCCAGCTGGTCAACCCAGAAAGCACCATGATTGGTGACTGAGCTCCGGGAAGGGGATCTGCCGGGGTCTTTGCGCCGTGAGATGACTGGTGTGGGGCTGGGAGTGTGAGCAGCACACAGGAGGTTATCTGTCCGTCTTTAGATAAGAGCACATTCTGGAAATTGCCCGGGCAAGGCTCATGGAAATGCTGCAGTCGGCTCAGATGCTTATTTGGCATGCGTTTCACCGTGCAGGGCGGAAGCCGCCCCAGGATTATAGGAGTGTAAGGCTTTCTCAGAGCTTACACGAAAGCCTGTGAGCCTGCTGCACATGCTAACTGCAGATCTCTCTCCCCATTTCAGCTTACAAGATGCTGGCATTGGATTCATCCTGGTCATAGACCGAAGGCAGGACAAATGGACCTCGGTGAAGGCATCAATCCTGCGAATAGCAGTAAGTGTTGGTGCCCGGGCTCTGTGACACCTGCCTCTGCTCGTCCCCTGGGCCAGGTGACAGCACTGTTTCTGTCCTAGCCACCCGTCTGCCTGGGGGCAGCTTGTGTTCTGCTGGCCCAAGCTGCACGGTGCACCAGCCCCCGTGGCCTGAGGCAGGGCCAGGGGCCATGTGGGAGCCCACATCCCCCTGGGCTGCTGGAGCGACTGGAGTGTGCGCATGTGTGTGCATGTGTGTATTCTAAATGGGTTCACTCTTAGCAGGCTTGTTGTCATTTAAAAACAGTCCCACCAGCTGGTTTGTTCTGACCATTGAGTATGGGCAATGCTGAGGATCGAACGTGTGTTCGTTCTTAAATGCAGCACAAGGTCCTGAATTAACAGAACGTCCAATGTCATACAGAGAATCTTCAGGCTACAAGTATGAAATTATATTGAACAGCTTTTCCTAATTGACTTTTTCCTTTCCAGAAGGGCTGTTTACCCTTTAGTTCTCCAACAACCCAGACACCTCGACCTTCCTTGGTACCCGTGCCCGCAGCCAGGGACCCCCGAGGCCATCTTTCATGCGCAGAAGGGCAGCTGCTCTGCGGATCCTGTGTGGCTGTTTTTAGCCTGCAGTGATAATTCGGGAGGGAAGAGTTAAGTCAGCAGCTTCTGCCCTGCCCACGAGCTCCATGTGGAGCACGTCACCCACGCTCACTCACGGCAGCAGGGGGACCCGGAGCAACTGTGGCCGGGCTCGTTGGCCGGGACAGCTCTGCTGCTCCCAAGCATTTCTTAAACACCTAACCCCCGACGGAGTAAAATCCTCCTAACCTCTTGCTCTGGGTCTTGCGTTCAAACCATCTTTGGTTGCTGACCTGAGAGGCGGCTGTGCTACGGCTCTGGGTGGAAAGGAAGAAGCGCTTCCTCCCCCGCAGATCGCCTCGCCATCTGTCCTAACAGCAGTCAGAGGCTTGGTGTCTGCTGTCTTACACCTGCATCGGTGCGGTGCAAACCTGGCCCTGGGCTGGTGGCTCCCACCTTTGTCTTTCTGAAAAAATATCTCCCTGCACTACCCAGTAGTGTCCCGCCCCTCCTCCCCACCCCCACACGCGTGTCCCGCCCCTCCTCCCCACCCCCACACGCGTGTCCCGTTCTTCGTCCCCACCCCCACACGCGTGTCCCGTTCTTCGTCCCCACCCCCCACACGCGTGTCCCGTTCTTCGTCCCCACCCCCCACACACTTCCTGTGCCATCATTTATCCGAAACAAAACACTTTGAATTGTTTCAAAAGAAGTAGACTTGTTATAAAATTAGCTTTTGTTTTAAAATCCTGTGAGGCTTAGAAAGAACTTTGATATGCCATCAGTAGTTAACAGCCAATGTGTCCATTTCATTGTTTTAAATTTTAAAATCAGTTTGCATGTGACATCACATGGCAGGCTAAATTAAGAATTAAATTGTAAGAACCACTGGGTCAGATGCACAATAGACTTAAGAAAAATATTTCTTGGGCGCGTGGTGGCTCAGTCGGTTGGGCGACTGCCTTCGGCTCAGGTCATGATCCCAGGGTCCTGGGATCGAGCCCCGCATTGGGCTCCCTGTTCCGCGGGGAGGCTGCTTCTCCCTCTGACCCTCCCCCCTCTCATGCTCTCTCTGTCTCTCTCTCCCTCATTCTCTCTCTCAAATAAATAAATAAAATCTTAAAAAAAAAAAGAAAAATATTTCTTAAATCAGTACATTAGTCCTGGGTTCAGTACCAAGACGTTCCCAGTCAAGCATGTCATTGTTTCAGAAGGTAACACTGTTATAATAACAGCGTTTTTCAAATTTAAATAATCTCTCCAGGTCTTCTACGTTTCTCTAGCCCTGACCTAACACATGCTCAGGCATGTCATCATGCGGCGGTCACGGGCGTCCCCTCGTCTGCACACACGCCTGTCCCAGGAGGGCCTCGTCCCAGCACCGCAGGGATCCCCTGCTCCGGGGCCCTCTGCTCCTGCTCCGCCGGCCTCCCTGCCTCCCCGTGTCCCCACAGCGCGGTGCTCCGCGCGGCCTCCCGCCCTGAAAGGCACCGCCGCTCCTGCCTGCACAGCTCGCGTTCCCGGAAGTCTGTTCCATCTTGCCGTGGCAGGCACCCAGCCCAGGCCCCGGGCGAGATAGGTTTTCCCTGCATGTCTCTTGAGGCCATCAGTCACTCCTGGTTAGACGCAGGAGCGTCCCCAAATACAGGATAGTTTTTTAAGAAAGAGAAATTATTTTTAAGAACTGAAGTAGCCTGCGAGTGCCCCCTGCCGTTGAGCCGCATGGCCCGGGACAGACCTGTGGGCGCCAGGGGTGCAGAGCCCTCCTCCCGCCAATGGCCATCCCGGTTTCCTGTGTCATCGACTTCGTGACCAGGTGGATTCTACAGTGTGCTGGCTCATCTTTAAAATGTTGTTTTGTGAAAATCAAAACTGAAGTGTTGGTGTTTGAGTTTTAATGTTTGCACAAATTTGTACACAATAAAAACAATAAGGTTTTAGAATCTCTTTTTTCCCATAAGTTTTGGGGTTCCCCAGTACTGGTTTGGAAACCCCAGAAGTTAACATTTTCCCCACATACTCATCAAAAATTCTCCTTAACTCCAATTCTTTTTATTACATGAATTTACTGATCCCATGAATGCCCAAAAATCTGTGCATGTATTTAGCACGTTTATTGAGACTCTGTTATGTGCCTGGTCCTGTGCAGGCACTGGGGCATGGGAGACGTAAGCGGGGAATAAGCAAGAAGTGTCCAGCCAGGTGGGGTGGGCAGACAGCTGACAGATGCTGTGACATGGGTTGTGAGCTGCTAACACGCAGGGGTGCCTGAGGCAGCGCCGGGCAGTCCTACAGGACTGAAGACAGGGGCAGTGTGAGCACCAGGAGGGCCTCCTGGTGGAGGTGACACTGGATGCACAGGAGCCTCTAGGATGTTTATCCAGAAACCACTTCACTCTTTCTGTCTCCAGATGACTTTTGTGTGTGGCCATCACACTGTGCGCATTCCTAAGTCGGAAAGTAAACAATATCACTTGACCTTACGAAACCTGTTGCAACCCTTCTGTGATCATGAAGGAATTTTGCAGCCGTCATCCCAAATCCTTCTTCCAGTTTCCTGTTCGTACAGTAAAACGTTAACGGTATTTTCCCAGCTCTTAGCACATACAGTTGATTCCAACCCAGAGAAAGTTTAGTTACTGTTCTTTGTGTTCAAAAGATGTGTTTTTGTAGATCATTAACACCTTGTCACGCAGCCAGGGTCTTACGGCTACTCTCGTTCGTGGAAGATTCGGGAAGTTAGAGAATCGGAAAGACCAGAGCAGAGAGAGGCAGGGGACGGGGTGTTTCCCGCCTCCGTCAGCTGATGGAGCTGTGACCCCACAGCGTGCAGAGTTAATCCACGTGAACTCTCGGGAGGACGGGCGCAGTGCCCTCTTCTGAGTCCCGGCTCTTGTCCTCACGTCACAGCGGCCAAGAGGAGCAAACGATGAAGCGGTGCTGGAATTTAGAAGGGATGACTCATTGTCACCTCCAGAGGGAGCTTTCCTTAACTAGTGGTGGCCAGCTTCCCAGGTGCTGGGACGGTCAGTGCAGCCGGCTCGCGGACAGCTGGGCTGGAACCGGCCCGGAACCTGCCTGCGGGGCCTCCCACCTTCAGCGCGGCTCCTCTCATGTGTTTCCTTTCCGCTCAAAGGAGCCAAACCATGAGGGCGCCCCCGCGTGGTTGGGAGCGAGGATGGGCACCCTGCTCCGGGGACTGCTCCAGCCCCGCCCCCTGCCAGCCTCGCCGTGGGCGCCTGGTGTGGTTTGCTGGCACACGGGCACCCTCGGGGTGCCCCAGGCCCGGCTGTGGCCCAGCAGGTGCACGCGGCCCCGTGGTGAGCCTGATGAGCCACAGCTCAGCGCCCCACTGCCCACATCCTGTCCCCGGCTGCAGGGGCCACGCAGGTGCGTCAGGGACCCCAGGGGTGGGGGGGCCTAGTGTGAGCACCGCCCTGGGGGCTCTGGGGACGACAGAGCCCGCAGGTGTGGGGGGCCCTCCCGCAGAAGCCCAGGGCACAGGGCTGGGGACGCAGCCCCGAGTCACCAGGAAGCGGTGGAGCTTCAAACCCCGAGACAGCACAGGGGCATCCGCAGACATGGCAGGGAGCACGTGGTGGCCTGTGAGCGGCAGCCAGGACGGGGTGCCAGGATGGTCACCGGCCATCGGTGGCCTTGGGTCAGAGGCACGTGCGGCAGAGATGCAGGGATGGGAACCACGTGTTTGGGGGGCAAACCTGAAGAGAGGCGGGGGGCAGGTAGGTGTCCTTGTGCAGTGAAGCCCTCGGGGGTGGGGGCGCTGGGTGCAGGGCGGGGCGGAGGTCAGCGAGGCCGCTGCAGTCCGGGCTCTGGACTCTGGTTTGTTTGCAGGGTGGGGAAGTCTCTGGAAGGTTTGCTCAGGATGGGGTCGTGATGCAGCTGATGCCCCACAGGGGTCCCAGTGGCACTTCGTGGGGAATAGGCTCAGGGCAGCAGTCGGGGGGCAGGGGAGCGGAGCTTGCTCGGGGAAGGAGTCCGGGGCAGGAGCTGGAGGGACAGTGCACAGGCTTTGGGACTGGCTGTGGGGCCCGAGAGGAAGGCACAGGCAGGAGAGCCCGGGGTATGGCCGAGCACTGACTGGTCATTGGCACCAGCGAGGCACCGGCCTGGGGCCCCCCAGTGCCCACGAGTCCAGCTTTTCCTGGCTTTTCTTCTGTTCCAGGGACTTGCTGTCACGTGGACATCAGGCCTGGCCTCAGAGGCCTCGGGGGGGCTTTCTCAGGGCAGATCCAGCCTTGGGGCCTTGGGGGTGAGGCCAGGACCCCACGGGCAGCTATTCTGACCTGGGTGACCCTGAGGCCTGTGGGTCAGGAGCAGAGCTGTCCCGGGGCCCCCGCTCCTACAGCACCAGCTTCTCCCAGGAGCTCCAGCCCGTGAGACCCACCGGACCAGACACTCGAGGGGGCCCCAGGGCTGAGGGCTGTCCAGGGGCGGCACCTGCTTAGTAGCGGTGCCCACGCAGGGAGGGGGCCGCACAGGCAGTGACTGCTTCCCGGGAAGGAAGTGGCCCGGCGCACACATGCTGTCGAGGTCCTGCTACCAGGGCCTCAGACTGGCGGGTGTGTCTCTGTTCCCGAGGACGCCTGCCAGGACGGGGCGGGGCCAGGGGGAGAAGGCCAGGAGCCTGGGGCTCACGTGCACCAGTCCTGCTGAGAGCAGGGTGGACGTGAGGGGCCCCGGGGTGTGGCCGCAGCGGGAGTGTCCACTGGCAGGTGGACGGTGAAGACGCAGAGACGCACGGGTGTGTGAGCTGTGGAGAGCGTGGAGGGCACAGCTTCCCCGCAGGCTCCCTGGGCAAGGCGGCGTCTCCCGCCCCACTCTGCGCTGCTCTGTCCATTTCGGGCTGTGCCAGCCCTGACTATATATCATGTTTCAGCTGCGTTCCGCCCAGTTACCCAGAAATCAAACTCCGTTCCTTCAGAATGTCTTCTTTTAGTAATGGGGGTCTCCCCAGAAATAAGTGTGTAGAAATAATCGGCGCCTAGAATAGGCTTTCACTAAATATCTGTCACGCCTCGTTTTTGAGGGTTCGTGCAAGCACGGCACCGCTGCGTGTGCGTTACGAGTGTGCGTTGGGAAGGCACTTTTTGTCTCTGTGTTACAAATGGGGAAACAGAGGCACAGGGAGGTGAGTAAGTTGCCCGAGGTCACGCACCCTTGTAAGCAGAGCTGGTAGCCGAATATATTCATGTGACTGTATCTAAAGGCACGTACACTGGGGTGTGAGCTTTCTTCTATCTTTGTTTTAGGAATACGTCTATGTGTCTGTATGGCTGTTTTTATTTGACAAGTGTCTTGGTTCCCTGGGGCTGTCCTCCCAAAGCGCCCACAGAGTGGGGGGCTGGAAACACCTGAGCCACTGCCCCATGGTCTGGAGCTGGAGGTCCGAGGTTGGTCCTGGGGCCGCGAGGCAGAAGCTGTCCCTTCCCCCACTTCTGGAGGTTTCTGGCAATCCCTGGCGCTCCTTGGCTGGTAGACGTGTCCCCTGTCTTCACACGTGGCGTCTCCCTGGGTGTCCGTGCCCAAGAGTCTCCTTTCCATAAGGACCAGGCAGATCGGCTAGGGGCCGCAGTAATGACCCCACGTAAACTTGATCGAATCTGTAAAGACCGTGTCTCCAAATCACATCCTGAGGCACTGGGGTTTGGACTTGACATGTGAATTTGGGGGGACGCCATGCAGCCTGAAACAAGTGTCATAAGCTTTTGATTTTACAGTTGATAACTCACATCACGTGCTTGCCCCGCAGCGTGACTTTCTCCTTTTCTTTTAAGAAAGGGGCTGTCTCTACAGAGCCCGGTGTCAGCAGCCACTTCTGTTCCGCCGTGACGTCCTCCCCGCCCAGACCACGCCATCCGCTGCAGGCGTGTGAGGACCTCGCGCCCAGATACACGTGTGCCCACGGCCCTTCTGTTGTCTTGCAGGCGTCCTTCCCAGCAAACCTCCAGCTCGTCCTGGTTCTGCGCCCAACAGGGTTTTTCCAAAGGACTCTCTCCGACCTCGCATTCAAATTCAATAGAGATGACTTCAAGATGAAGGTGCCGGTAAGTACGTCCTGGTCACTCTGCAGGCTGGACTGAGTGGGTGTCACTGCGCTCTGGGCCCACGCTTGACGGGCGCACCCCCCAGCAGGCGGGCGCACAGACCGCGCGGACCTGTCGGGAACTGCTGGTTCTCTCACACGGCCCTTCCCCCCTTTCTGCTCCCGGGAAGCGCGCGTCCATACTGTGCCTCGGACGGGTCACTGTGGAGGTGCAGCTGTGTGAGAGCCACGAGTCTAGAGCACTCTCACCGAGCGAGGGTCAGGCCAAAGAACAAGAGAGCCCAGCAAGCTGAGAGCCATGGTCAGCCTCCTAGTGAGGAACACCCAGGCTCTGCCGGTGCTGGGGACAAGCCAGGGGCCAGGGGAATGGGGCCAGTGTCCCCAGGCCTGCGGAGGGAGCGTCCAGTGGGTGGGTGGCCCTGCCTCATCTCCTGCTCAGTGGCCCCGGCAGCCCCGAGAGGGCGCTCCCTGCCACCAGCCCCCATCCTTGAGAACACAAGGCCACGTAGGGTCCCTTACATGGGTGCCGCCAGGAAGCCTGTTTCCCGTGAAGCCTGCTTGAGTCTCACCAGCTCCTCTGGGAGCAGCATGGGGCAGGGGGCCGCCAGGCAGCACCCCCCCGCCCCGCCCCGGGTGCATTTGTTCTCCGGGAAATCACTTGTTTTCTGTTGCAAAGAGGACGAGAACGCACAGGGCCAGTCCCAGGAGCCTCGTAAGCTCCCGACAGTATCTACCAGATCGCTTTTGCCAACCTGAGAGTCCGTGGTGGTGGTTGTCCGTGAGGTCTGTACCTGCTCCTCGGTGTACAGGATGCTGGGCGCTCTGCGCAGTCAGGGGCCGTGAGTGAGGCATCCCCAGCTCGAGAGCAAGTTGCACTCGGCAGCCCCAAACCGTGGGCTTTGGGGTGTTGGGGACACCAGTGCGCTCACTGTTTGCAGGCCTGGATGCCTTTATTTCTGATGGCCCGTTTCCTGGGGACGGGCAAGGACAAAACCACTGAGACACGGCTTACGGTGGTGCCCGGCATGAAAGCCACCAGTGCCCAGCCCCCTTCAGCCTTGTGATGCCCGGCATGAAAGCCACCAGTGCCCAGCCCCCTTCAGCCTTGTGATGCCCGGCATGAAAGCCACCAGTGCCCAGCCCCCTTCAGCCTCGGGACACCCGGCCATACAGCCTTGCCCTACAAGGGGCAAGTGAACCTCGTTAGCAACAGGTCTCGACACAGACGTGTCCGAGGAAACCAGACAGGGCCTGTCCTAAGGGCGGTGGTCTCCCCTGCAAATGGCACTATTCGGCCAAACCAGTGAGTTCTCAAAATCATCACCGGCTCTTCAGTTTGCTGATCCATTTTATTTTATTTTTTTTTTAAGATTTTACTTATTTATTTGACAGAGAGAGACAGCAAGAGAGGGAACACAAGCAGGGGGAGTGGGAGAGGGAGAAGCAGGCTTCCCGCAGAGCAGGGAGCCCGATGCGGGGCTCGATCCCAGGACCCTGGGACCATGACCTGACCCGAAGGCAGATGCTTAACGACTGAGCCACCCAGGCACCCCTGCTGATCCATTTTAGATAACCCTTTAAAAGCATAGAAAACATCCTCTCAAGAATGCCGTTGTTAAAATGTGTTCATTTTATCAACATGTCTGGTGTCAGTGCTGTGTGCTGACCTCGTGCTGGACAGAGAATGTTAAGAGAAACGGTTCCTACACCTTTTCTGTCATGATTAGACGTACTTGGAGTGTGTGCAGGGTTTAGCTGAGACGCAGAAGTCATGAGGAAGGTGGCCAGGCTTTGGCCATGCGGGCCATGAGATGGGGCCTTCTGCTGGAGGGGCAGAGAGTCCTCTCTGCTGAGCTCACTGCCCACCTCTGGGACGTTTCAGCCTCTTCTGCTTGAAGGCCATGGCTCACGGGATCTCAGCGGCCTGTGGACAGTTTGGGCTGCGTTATCCTCTGTGGTGGGGCTGTGTCTTGCAGGGGTGGGATTCCGCAGCACTCCCACATCGTGACGATCAGAAACATTTCCAGATGGTGTCAGGCGTCCCCTGGGGGCAGAACCGCCTGGGTGACTAAACCAATACGGCGTTCAATAACACACAAGATGGTGTCCGATACCGTTTGGTCTAAACCTCTCTAACCCTCTCAAGACCTGTTTCATAGTGTCTGTCCGATGGCTCACCAAGCAAAGGCTGTGTCTTTACCCAGAACTCATGGACAGAATGACCCGGAAAGGGCAAGAGAGATAGACAAGCCTGTGTGAAGTGCTTCCTGGGTCCCACGGAAGGGCACCTGTAATAAGCCCACTGAGTTTCCGTGGGCATAGGGACAAAACGATGTCCTTTCGAGTCAGAGTGCTGCTCGGTTACCGCCAGGAGCTCCCCCGCCTGGGAGCCAAGAGCACCTGTGGGATGTCCGGTGTTGAGTGTGTGCCCAGCTCTTGTTGGGGCTCAGATGCCTGCCTTCGATGCCGAGATCAGTCATCACAGGCCCATTTCACACTGAGGCACAGAGAGAAGGTCGACCAGCCCAGAAGTGGTAGAGCCGGAAGTTAAGCCAGGGTCCAAAGCCAGACGCCTCCTGCCCCCGTGGCCGCCGTTAGGGACTAGCGGGAGAGCATCGCTTCTGGTCCGCCGGGCGGTCTCTTTATGGGGGCGGCTTCTTTCCTCCTCCAGGTCATAATGCTGAGCTCAGTACCAGAATTACACGGTTACATCGACAAGTCCCAGCTGACCGAGGACCTGGGTGGGACCCTGGATTACTGCCACACCAGGTGGCTGTATCACCGCACAGTGAGTCCTCCAGGCTGCCCGCACCCGGGGTGCGCTGTGGGTCCCCCTAATCCCGACCTGATTGGCTGAATAGCTTTTGCATGACGATGCTGCCTTTTCCAAAGACATGTTCCCAATAACCTCAGTTCTGTTCCCCAAGAATGAGGAGATGGTCTCAGTGGACCTCAGTCATCTAAAGAAACAACATGAGTAATAAGTTGGGGAGTGGTTTTCTCTGGGCTCAGAGACAGAACAGAAAGGAAACCCCTGGGTGGGGGAGAGACGGAGCACAGAATGACTCTAGCTGATGAGATCCCGCGTAGACAGTGCCCGGTACGCTTCTGGAGGAGTCGTGGGGCTCAGGAGCCACACTGCCGATGCGGGTTAGGCTGGCTGGGCCCTGCCCTGCCCCCGCCCCGAGCATGGCCATGCGCTCCGCACCGGACGCCTGCTTTCCAGGCGGCAGGAGGACGCACGCATGCACAGCTCGGTGAGGGTGTTTTCCTTCTTCCCGAGGCGATCGAAAGTTTCGCCCTCATGGTTAAGCAGACAGCTCAGATGCTGCAGTCCTTCGGGACCGAGCTGGCCGAAACGGAGCTGCCCAACGACGTGCAGTCGACGAGCTCAGTGCTCTGTGCGCATACGGAGAAGAAGGACAGAGCAAAGGTGCGCGTGGCTTCTGTGTGGGGTGGGGACGGGGAGGGGCATCGGGCAAAACTGAGCTAAGGCCACTTCAGAGGCGCGTTTTGGTGCCAGTGAGCTGGCGAGCTCTCCGAGGATGCAAACGTGCTCCTTCTTGAAAGCGGCCTGAGTGCCGCGGGGTCCGAGAGCAGCCTCCCTCTGAGTGGCTCCTGGGCGTCCAGACGGCCAGGCTACTGGCCCTGAGCTTCTGCTGCTTGTTAGCACAAGCCGGGCAGGATGTCTGCCCACAGTTCCCAGACAGCAGGTGGGGGACGGTGGGCGGACCCAGGGGACTGCATCGGTCTGTAAGTCAGCCGGCCACACTCCGGGGAGCCTGAGCTGGGCGGGATGTGGCTTGGAGTCAGGGCTGGCCCCACCCCCAGAAGCCCACACTCCCTTCGGTCCTGGCAGCGAGGACACCGTGGAAGCAGGCACCTAGAGGTCTGGTTTCCTGTTGGTGTCTTCCCTGCTCCCACTGCCCCAAGTGACCGTAGCCCTAGCCATGCCCTGGCCATAGCGGAGGGGTCTCCAGACACCTGCCGTCCTTCGGCAGCTCTAAGGCAGAGGCGGGAGCGAGCCCGGGGTGCCAGGCGCGTGCTGTCCCCACAGGAGGACATGAGGTTGGCACTGGACGAGGGGCAGAGCATCCTGGAGAACATCAGGGAGCCACTGGCCAAGAGCGGGGAGCAGAGCCTGAACCAGGACCAGCTGGATAACCAGACCACTGTGCAGAGGTGAGGGCCCGGGCTGAGGCCAGAGCAACAGAGGACACGGGCCCCCATGTCCTCATCCTAACGGGAAGCAAGGGGACCGCAAGTCCTTACCACTGACACGCTTGTCTTCCATACCCCAAAGAAAGCAGCTGTTCCGGGGAGGAAGCTGTCTTAGAGTGAAGGTTCTTTTCTGCTAGCACCGGGGACGCTTAAGGGAGCTGGTGCTGACCGGGTCCTGCAGGCCTTTGGGGCCTTAACCCTTCTGCACCCACCTGTCCCCGCCCACCGGGCTGGCTTGTGCCTTTGGGACCCAGGGATGCTGTCCTTCCTAGAAAGAGGACAACGTGCACATCCTCCTTGAGCTCCAGCCGCCTGGCAGCGCTGTGCGGACTGACCCCAGTGCCCCGGAACGCCCACAGCCCCACGCATAGGCCTGGTCCCTGTCCGGGGACGAGGCGTGCACGGGAACCCAGCAGCCGGATGGCCTGCGGGTGACACCCAGCCCACCACAGGCTGACCCAGGCCCAGACCCAGGCGGACTCGTACACGCAGTTTACGCAGCGGGCAGGTGTGCTGTGCCAGGGATGGGGGGTGGCCTCAGGGGGCCCCATGCAGGTGTGGAGTCACGAACAGAGGGGGCTGGAGCTGACCCCAGCACTGATGGGCTAACACCCATGGGCGTCTGGCAGCCGTTCTGGCCTGGGAGCAGGGTCAGTGAATGGTGGGGGGTCACTGCACCCTTCATGCCCGAACTGAGAAGTGAGAAGCCCAGACCACTGCCCTCTCAGCTGCCAACACGTTCAGCCCAGCCCTTTGCCACGGGCTCCCAGTGGGCATTGGCGTGGCCCCGTGCGATGAGGTGTGTGGGCAGCGGCCCGGCGGGGTCACCCCTGCTGTGCCTCTCCGGTGGGCACACCTGGCCCTGCGAATCCCACGTCCAGTCCCGGAGAGAGGTGGCGATGTGTGGGCAGGCCGTGGAGCCGGAGCCCGGAGCCCGCGCCCCACACCCCGCACCCGCACAGACAGAGCCTCTCCCCTCCCCAGGCTCCTGGCCCAGCTGAGCGAGACAGAGGCTGCCTTCGATGAGTTCTGGGCGAAGCATCAGCAGAAACTCCAACAGTGTCTGCAGCTCCGGCATTTTGAGCAGGACTTTCGAGAGGTGAGTGGCTGGAGCGGGCAGCTGGCTGTGGGCGCAGGAAGCCGGTAGGGTGGCCCAGATCCACCCGCCGCTTTGAGCGGAGCTGCCCAGGTCTCTGTCTGCCCCGCGGAGCCGCAAGACCCAGTGGGACCAGACCTTGAGGCGTGTGGCCGGTGAGTTGTCGCCCACGGCAGGTTCCCCTCTCTGCCGTGGGCGTGCGCTTCCCTGCGTTCCTTATAGCCGAGTCCAGGAGCCGTCTGGACGCTCCCTCGCCCAGCACGCATCTGTCCTGTGCCTGCTCGCGCGACTCAGGCGCACAAAACTGAGAGCAACAGTAGCGCTGGGCTCTGTAGCACAGGGGTTGCGGGGGTGACGCACCGGGGTGACGCGTGGCAGTGACACGGGGTGACACGCAGCCGTGGTGTCAGTGGTCTCGACAGGACTCAACAGAAGCCGTTGATCACTTATTTATGCGCGTGAGCGCGCTGAGCTGTCCATGTGCCCTTGCCCTGCCCCATGATGTTTCTCCTGGTCCTTCCGGTCAAGGTGGGGTGGGGGGGTCCCAAATGCGCGAGAAGTAAGTAACAACCCTGAGTCCAGCGTGAACGCTGTCGCAAGGCCGTGGGTAAGGGCCAGGGGAGCAGAAGCAAGCGTTCCGGTCCCCCCAGAGTCCCGAAATGTCACCGTTTCGGGAACACAGGATGGGTTCAGTAGCACTGAGCAAGTGCGGGAGCTCGGTGTGCAGGGGACCAGCCTCCCTGGTTGGGCCCAGAGGGGTAGCCCCAGCCTGTGCGAACGGCACACCGTGGGAGCAGAGAAGATGGTCCTGCCTAATCTCCTCTGGGGGCGCTGAGGAGGGCTCACCAGACACGACAAACGACACTTTACGGATAGTTGTAGATTTGCGTGCAGTTGTGAAAGAATCCAGCCAGACCTCACCTACTCTCCAGCCAACTGCCCCCAGAGCCACGTCTTCCAGACCACGCTCAGAATCTCAGTGCAGACGCTGACGCGGTCAGCACACGGAACATCCCTCCCCAACACAGACGCGGGTTTCCCTCTCGTAGACACGATTCCCTCCCACCCCACCCACCCCTGCCCTCCTAAACCCACGTCCCCTCCTACCCCTCCCTTTGCCCTGCTGAGCCCCGACCCCTCCCCCTGCTGAACCCCCGTCCCCAGCCACCCTTCCCCTCCTGACCCCCTGGCAACCACTGATCTGCTCTGCTTCCATATGCTGTCATTTCAAGAATGTCCTAGAACGGGGTCATACATATGTAGCCTTCTGGGCCTGGCTCTCTTCATGCCGCAGAATCGACGCAGGTGTTGCAAGTTCACTCTTGTTACTGCTGAATAATTAGGGTTCTGGGGGTGCGGGGAAGCCACGATTTAACCCTTCACATGTTCTCATTTTGAGAAAGTCCAGTTTTTCCTTTTAAGGATCATACTTTTGGCGTCCATCCTAAATCCTGGGTCCCAAGTATGTTCTCCTGGGCTTTTCTTGCTAAAAGTCTTACAGTTTTAGGTTTAAGCCCTGATCCATTTTGAGTTAGCTCTTGCGTGGGGTGAGAATCAGGTCACGGTTCAGTTTTTAGTCTCTGGGTGTCCAGGGGCTCTGGCAGCGTTTGTCAAAAAGGCTTTCTGTTCTCCACTGGACTGCTTTCCCCCTTTTGTCAGAAGCCAGTGAGCCATATCCATTTGGGTCTGCTTCCAGGTGTGCGTCCCATCCGTCCGTCAACCCCACACACAGTCTTGCTGGTTCGGGCCATGCACTAAGTCTTGAAATCAGGTGGACCGTTCCTCCCACCGCCTCTTTGTCCCCAAATGGTTTTAGGTTCTCCAGTTCCTTTGCCTTTCCGCAAAAAATAATCTTTCTAGCTCTATAAAGTTTTGCTGCCGTTTTGATAGGAACTGTACTAAATCTATATTTGGGGGAGAGTCAACATTTTTCCTACGTTGAGTCTTGCAATCAATGAACACAACATGTCTGTCACACCTTTTACTTAGATTTTTCTCATCAATGTTCTGCAGTTTTCAGCAAACCAGCTTAGTATGTATTCTATTTGATTTACACTCGAGTATTTCATTTTTAAGCAACTGTAGGTGGTGTTTTTAATTTTGGTGTCCATGTATTCATTGCTATACCTAGAAATACAACTGATTTTTTTGTGTTTATCTTGCTTCTTGAAACCTTGCTGAACTCACTTACTCTGTTAATTGTTTTGTAGAGTTTGGGGGATTTTCTACATAGATGATTAGGTCTTGTGCAAACACGGACAGCTTGATTCTTTCCTTTTCCATCTGTAAGTCTTTGGGTTGTTTGTGTTTTTATGCATGCGTGCATGCATGTATTTCGCCATCTTGCACTGGCTACGTAGTGAGAGTGGACTTCCTTGCCTTGTTCCCGGTCTTAGAACGAAGGCGTTGTTCTCACCACCATGACAGCTGTCCGGTAGGCTGTAAGACTTCTGAGGATGTGTCCCTCTGCCCTATTTCCTGAGGAGGACCTGGCTCCTCTGTCCTCCCTCCCTTCCAACTTTGGGCCATGCCTCCATACCTGACGTGGGCCTGGGCCTTCCTGCCCCTCCTGTGTTTCAGGTCAAAGCCTCTTTAGACACACTGGCCCAGAAGATAGCAACCTTCACCGATGTGGGCAACAGCCTGGCGCACGCAGAGCACCTCCTGAAGGACCTCGCCAGCTTTCAGGAGAAGTCGAGTGTAAGGCCTGGGACGTGGGCTGGTGTGGGCAGGGGACGGCCTGCAGGTGGTGCTCATGACACCATGGCATCACTTAGGAAGGCACGGGAAGGGGGCTCTCTCGCCATCAGGTGGGGGACGTCACGAGTGGAGGGATGGCAGCACGGCCCCACCCACGACCCCTCCCACTCTCACCCCCACCCCCACGGATCCCTCCCAGAAATCGCAAGCTGCTTGCTTTCACAACCTAAGCTGAGCCGTGTGTCTGGGCGGCTGTCTCCACAGGCGTCTGTAGAGCGGGCCCGCGCCCTGTCCCTGGAGGGCGAGAAGCTCATTGACAGCAAGCACTACGCCGTGGACTCCATCCGCCCCAAGTGCCACGAGCTCCAGCACCTCTGTGACCAGTTCGCGGCCGAGGTGGAGAGGCGGAGGGGGCTGCTCAGCAAGTCCCTGGAGCTGCACGGCCTCCTGGAAGCAGTAAGACCCCCGTCCCCGCCCTCCTGCTCCCGCGTGGCCTGCTCCTTCCCCGTGGACCACAGGCACGGGCTGGAAGCTGGCCCACGCCCTGCGGTCTGTGGGCCTTTCTTGAGCCCAGCCAGTCACGGCTACCGTTTTCTAGAATTCCCTTGCCACAAGGACCAAAGCCGGCATGCAGCTAATTCCCTGCACTTTCTCTGCGTGAACGAGTCCGTCCGGGCGGTGTGCGTGGCTTCGGGGCGCCGCGCATCCGTGCCCAGAGATTCCCAGAGTATGGCGGCGGCCGGCGGCGGGTGGGACAGCCGGCAGGGCCCGGGCAGAGCATGCCTACCAGACACGCCAAGACACGGCCTCTGACGGCACCCCTCTCTCCCCCTGCCCCAGTCCATGAGGTGGTGTGATGAGGGGATCTACCTGCTAGCCTCACAGCCTGTGGACAAGTGCCAGTCCCAGGACGGCGCGGAGGCGGCCCTGCAGGAAATCGAGAAATTCCTGGAGACCGGTGCAGAGAATAAGATCCAGGAGCTCAATAAAATTTACCAGGACTACGAGTCCATCCTCACCAAAGACCTGATGGTAAGCGGAGCCGGGCCCTGTGCTGACGGCAGGAAGTCGCTCCGGGGTGTGCGGAAGAATCCCGGCTTGACCTCTTAGAGCATCCTGGGCGGTCATGGGGCTCAGCATCCCTTCCAGCAGCGTCTCCCTCCCAGGGCAGTCTCCCTGCCCCCAGGGTCCTGCTGGGGGCCCCCTCCTGCGAGTCCTGCTGCATACGGCCCTGGCCCAGTGCCCCTCTCCCGCCCGGCCAGCTGTCCGCACCGTTCCTCCAGGGGCCTGCAGACCCGTGGTGGCCTCTCCGCCTCCAGTACCCCATCCCACGGGGGCCCCACCTCTTCCGTCCGCAGCAAGGGCAGGAGTGCGGGATTGCTGTGTGGCCCCCGTGGGGCTGTGTCCCAAGCTCAGCGGAGGGTGTGCTTCTGAAATTGGTGGTGTCTCTTGCTCACGAGTCCATATACCCTGTCCCTTCAGGAGCACGTGCAGAAGGTCTTCCAGAAGCAAGAGGGCATGGAGGAGATGTTCCACCGGAGACAGGCAAGCCTGAAGAAGCTGGCAGCCAAGCAGACGCGGCCCGTGCAGCCCGTGGCCCCCCGGCCAGAGGCGCTCACGAAATCGCCCTGCCCCTCCCCAGGTGTGTGCCGTCGCCGTCCTTCCAGGCCACGGTGGGCCCTTGTAAATAAAGTTTTGTCGGCACGCAGCCGCTGTGTGCCGTCCACTAGCCATCAAGGGGCTCTTCCCTGACTCCGGTTTGCCCCAGCCTATCTTCCTCAGTGCTGTTGCCAAAATAGTTCTCCGACCGCAGCCCAAAGCCCCCAGCGGCTCCGGTTTCTCGTGGTCTCCTCCTCGGAGGCCGAGCAGGTGGCCACACCATTTCCCAGAGCCCCTTCTGTGGCGGCGTCTGCCTGCCGTCCACATCAGGGCTTTGGCGAGTGTGCCGTAAGCTGGTGAGACCCTGGAGGGCCGGCTCCCTCCTCCACAGCATGTGGCATCCGTCAGAGGAGACCTTACCCCCTGGCCCAGTGTTGTCCGGGTCCCACGTGTGTGTGCATGGGCTCCCTGTTCCCTCCCCGGGCTCCCACCCGCCCTCCTCTGCTTTCCTCCCCATCCTGGGCAGGCGGGGGGGCTTGCTCCTGTCCCCACGACCACCCCGCTCCCAGGTGCTGTCGCTCCCCTCCAGGCAGTGAGATACGAAGCCACACCTCCCTTCTTCATTTCTTTCCAAACTAGGCAGCCGGAGAGGCTCTGAGAACAGTTCTGAGGGCAGCGCGCTCCGGAGAGGGCCCTACAGGAGGGCCAAGGTGAGGCCGCCGTCCAGGCCACCCCCCAACGGCGGCTCTCCTTGCAGTGCCGCCCCGCCTGTGCCGTGGGACCTCCGACCCCTCCCCAGCGGGGAGGGAGGTTGGGCTCCTCAGAGTCAGGACGTAGGGCTGTACCTTCTCCTGTCTGAATATGCTCGATGCACCGCGTGCTCTTCTCTCCCCAGAGCGAGATGAGTGAGAGCCGGCAGGGCCGGAGCAGCTCCACGGGGGATGAGGAGGAAAGCCTGGCCATCTTGCGGAGGTGAGTGGCTCTGGTCCAGAGACGGCAAGTGCGACCGTCTCAGATCTCAGCCTTTGGCCACGGGGAGTCTGAACATCAGCAGGCCTGAGTTGGTGGGCTCTGTCAGCGTCCACCGCAAAGCGGGCATCAGGGAGCACACACACGGGCATGCGCCATGCTTCGTGCAGGCGTGTATGCGTCTGTCCATTTGGCGAGTCCACGTCCAGAGCCAAGACAAAGCTGATTTTTCCTAGAAAAGCCTTTTGTCCCTGGATCTGCAGGCAGGATTTTGATGATTTGAAATGGCTTGTGTCCCCCCTTCCTTAAGCCCCAGGTGACGAGCCTGTGTGATTCCCCAGAGATGGGCGTGTAGCAGTGCTCACCACCCCTGACGGCCCCCTGGCTCCTCCTTGCGCCGCGCCCGCGGGCTGGTGCCACTTCTCTTTCTTAACCCCCTCCTCTTCCCACACCCACCCCCGCTCTGGGGGTCTTCTGTCTGCACCCCTTCCTGCCCTAACCCCTCTCTGCTCACAGGCATGTGATGAACGAGCTCTTGGACACGGAACGGGTCTACGTGGAGGAGCTGCTCTGTGTCCTGGAGGTGAGCCTGTGCCAGGGATGGCGGGGGCACCCCGGGAGCCTGCTAGCCGGCTCACCCCACACATAGAGCATGAGAGGAGGGTGGCAGCTTTACTCAGATGGCCCCAAGCTGGAAACAACTCACGTGTCCATCAGTGGGACCAGGGACAAGGAGACATAGGTGCATCTGCACAGGGACCTATTCCAGCAGCGAGCAAGAGAGTGTGGCTGACCCGGGAGCATGGCTGACCCAGGAGCGTGGCTGACCCGGGAGTGTGGCTGACCCCGGAGCGTGGCTGACCCCAGGAGCGTGGCTGACCTGGGAGCGTGGCTGACCCGGGAGTGTGGCAGGAGCAAGAGGAGGACTGTGTGCAAGTCCCATGCAGGAACAGCTGAGCTACCCGGTCTGGGTGGAGGAGCAGAGTGGAAGCCTCGGGGGCTGTTGCCAGGAAGGCAGGGGCTTGTGGGCACTGGAATGCTCTGGATCTTGGTCTGGGTAGTGGTTACAGGGGTGTAGACATTTGAATGGTTCATCAAAGGGTATACATAACATTTTTCTCCTTCATACCAGTTACATGAGTTTTAAGAGGTTGAGAGGCAGGGGATGGAACTCCCCCCCCCCGGCACAACCCCTAAAAATGGTGCCATCTGTAGTTCACTCACGTTTTTCGGTGCTTGTTGTCTGGGTGGTCATCTCAGAAACGGTCAGTGAATAAGTAAGGGTGGATTCACTTTCTAAACCCTGAGAGGCGTCCCCTACCTGCTGGCAGCCCACAGAGCCTGTTCCAGAACCCGGCGTGCCTCCCGACCTCTCCCCTCCTCCACAGGGCTATGCCGCTGAGCTGGATAACCCGCTCATGGTGCACCTCGTGTCACCGGGCCTCCAAAACAAGAAGGATGTTCTCTTTGGAAACATGGAAGAGATTTACCACTTTCATAACAGGTCAGGCCCTCCTCTGACCACACCTCTCCGGTGGGGTCTGCCTCTGAGACAGCGGCCTGCAGGGAGCCGGACCACACGCAGGCCCTGGGCTGTGGCCTGTGGGCGGAGAGCATCCTTCCTCCTCCCAGGGACAGGCTCTCAGGGGCTGCTGTGGGGCAGTGGGCTCAGTGGGGAGGCGCTGGCCAGGCCGTTACAGGTGTGCTGGGAAGTACCTGGGGCTTTGAGGACGTAGGAGCGCCCCCCCACGCCTGCCTTGCCAGCAGTGACCAGTCCCGCTCAGTGTGTACATTCGGCCCTTTGGGGCGGCACCGAAGCCACACCCCTCAGCAAGGCCCGTTTTGTCCCCAAGCTCGTCCTTGCAAAGGAGGCAGCAGCAGACATCCCTGTCCTGCCTCTTCTGCCCCAACGAGTGCCGTCTGCGGCCACCATGGCTTTGGGGGAAGTACAAACAGTGTTCCTGCGGCCATCCACCCATCCTTGGCTCCTCGCTGCAGTTTGTGGGGGCTCGTGGGCGAGGACGTGAGGGGGTGGATGCAGGCTGCACGGGTGGCAGTCGGACAGACAGCACAGGCCTATGCGTCCTGAGAAAGCCTCCTCTGGGCTTGTGGGGGCGCTTGGGACTCCTTTCAGCCTCGGTCACCCACTTGCCTACAGAGGAGGCACTAGTCTGCCACCGGACCCCCCGGACTGCTCCTTTTCCATGGAGGGGGCGCTGGTCAAGTGGCCTGGTCCCTCAGCATCCTGGGCTCGGGCCAGGCCTCAGTGATTGTGAACTGACCCCAGGGAGCTCTCCCTCGAGGCAGGATTGACCCCTGTGGAGCTCAATGGGTCTGGGGGGGCCTCTCACAGCTACACTGGCTTCTGTCTGCCTCCTCGTCCCCATCCGGCGGGCAGAAAGCAGCAGCCCTAACTTCTGTGTGAACGCCGACACCAGCGACCTGAAGGGACCCACAAAGGGGTCAGGTCTGCTTAAACCCGAGTTTGCTGCAGCCAGGCCCCCAGGAGAGCCTGGCCTGCGCTGCGGGGCCCTGCTCACAGTCTCCTGACTGTCCAGAGTCAGAAATAAACGTGACCTGGGAAATGACATCCATTCATCTGTGACCAGCGTCTCCTCCGGGTTGCTCTTCACATGACCTCTGGCGAACTTTCTCTGTCTAGAATATTCCTGAGGGAGCTGGAAGACTATGCAGGCTGCCCAGAGCTGGTTGGAAGGTGTTTCCTGGAACGGGTATGTGTTTTTTCAATGTGCGCCTTGCCATGCCTTCCTTGTTAAAATTACGGCGTGAAACAATCATGACTTTAAACCCTATCACAGTCTCCTTCTAGCCCACTGAAATCACGAAGGGCAGATGTTCCCGGTCTCCCTGAGGTGGCGCTTTATGTAAAGCCCAGTAACTGGTTCAGGATGCTGCTTGCAGCATCGGCATCCTGGGAATCTTACTGGAAATGCAGATTCTCAGGTCCCACCCCACACCTGCTGACTCAGAACCTCCAGGGGCTTCTGTGTTAACAAGCCCCCGGGCAGCTCCATGCCCACGCACGTTTGAGCACCAAGCTCTGCAGGCTCTTTCGTTAGAAAGTTAGCCACTGTTTTTAGTCTGCTATTCTCACGGCAAAAAGCAAGCTGTGTGGTGCTAGTCTGTGTGAAGGAGGGACTAACGCAGCTCCGAAGCGAACCCTGGTGGGCTTGCGATGCGGCATGGGAGGTGGAGGAGGGGACAGGGTGCGCCCTGTGACGCGCTCGGTCCCCGGGTCAGATGGAAGAGTTCCAGATCTACGAGAAGTATTGTCAGAACAAGCCGCGCTCCGAGAGCCTGTGGAGACAGTGTTCCGACTGCCCGTTCTTTCAGGTGTGTTTGGGGGAGCCCCCTGTGAGCGCACGGCCTCCCCCACTACCGCACTCACACACAGGGACTGAGACAGTCCCAACGGGCGGGTTCTGGGTTGCAGGAATGTCAGAGGAAGCTGGACCACAAGCTGAGTCTGGACTCCTACCTGCTGAAACCGGTCCAGAGAATCACCAAGTACCAACTGCTGCTCAAGGTGAGCTGCCTCTCCCCCCGCCCCCCCCCGACCGCTGTGCCCTCGCGGCCTCGCAGGCCCCACCTGCAGCTGCCCCGGCCACCCCCGAGCGCCACGGTCCCGGCCCCTCTGCGAGGGCCCTGGCTCTTCACAGACCTTTGTGGAGTGCCTACTGTGTGCCGGCCGTTGTCAGGGGGCCACGGACACAGGGGCGAACAGTCGGGCAGACCCTGCCCCATGGAGCACGTGCTCCAGGCGTCTCCACGCACACACCCCAGGCTGTGCACCCACACGCGGTCCTCCCTGCAAGGCTGCCTGTGTCCAGCTTCCTTTTCGGGCCAGAGTGAGCGAGCCAGTGGACGCGCAGATGCCTTTAGCCATCACGGGTTTGGGGGTGTCAGGTTCGAAAGGAAAGAATAACAGGTCTAGGAGTGTGGGAAGACGTGAGCTGCAGGAGGGGCACCCACCCTGGGGAGGCCTGGCCGCGCGTCTGGCTCCGGGGGTGTCCCTGTCTGCAGCACCAGCAGGACCGTTGTGGGGGTGGCATCCTGGACCTCCCCGGCCACGCAGGGAGCCACGCTATGTGTCCTGAGGGTCCACGCAGGTGCCCAGGGCCGGAGTGGGGAGTCCCGTGTCCCACGGGTGTGTGGACGCCTCCTCGTCCCCCAGGAGATGCTAAAATACAGCAAGAGCTGTGAGGGGGCCGAGGACCTGCAGGAGGCACTGAGCTCCATCCTGGGCATCCTCAAGGCTGTGAACGACTCCATGCACCTGATCGCCATCACCGGCTACGACGTAAGGGCCTCCCCGTCCCGCCGGCGAGCCTGGTGCCGGTCCACCTGCCGTCCGTGCAGAGCTGTGCGGGGAGCATCCGTGTGCATGCGTGTCCCTGCAATCTGGCGGGAACCCAGTTCCGACTGGCGTCTGGGGCGGGCGCGGGGTGAGCGGACCCCCAGCTTGGGGCGTGACCCCGACTGCAGGGAGCCTCCACCCCTCCGAGCAGCCTGTCAGTGCAGGAGCCCTGAGGGCGGCGGTGCTCAGAGCCCATCTGTGTTCGCCGCTGCTTGTGGGCTGGGGACAGGGGACAAGCGGGCGTGAAGGTCAGACTCTGCTTTTTCCTCGTGTGCCCGAATTAGGTCAGTTTTGTTGCTTCTCTGTAAGTCAATTCACGCCCACCCTGTTCTTCTGAATTTAACAGGCTTTATTTTTAGAGCAGTGTTAGGTTTGCAGCAAGATAAGGGAAGGCACGAGGACCCCCCCCACGCCCCTGCGCCCCCATGCACAGCACCCCCGTTCCCCACACCCAGCAGGAGGGGCCTTCGTCACAGGGATGAGCCCCCGCTGGTTCGCCATCTCCACCCAGAGTCCGGGATGTGCCTCCCCTGGGTTTGGACAGACGTGGAATGCCCTGTGTCCAGCGGGGCGGTGTCAGACAGAGTTTCACTGCTCGAAAGCCCCCGTGCTCCATCCATTCACCCTCCCCCAGCCCCTGGCCACCCCCGGCCCCTCACCTGTCTCCACAGTTCTGCCTTTTCCCAAGTGTTACGGAGCGGGGGTCCTGCAGGACGCAGCCCTCCAAGGAGGGCTGCTTTTCCTCAGCAACGTGCATATAAGGCCCCACGTTCATTCTGGGCTTAGGGGAACCTGAGTGACCTGGGGAAGCTGCTGATGCAGGGCTCCTTCAGCGTCTGGACGGACCACAAGAAGGGCCACACCAAGGTGAAGGACCTGGCCAGGTTCAAGCCCATGCAGCGGCACCTCTTCCTGCACGAGAAGGCTGTGCTCTTCTGCAAGAAGAGGGAGGAGAACGGGGAAGGGTACGAGAAAGCCCCTTCCTACAGCTACAAGCAGTCCCTGAACGTAAGTGAGGCTTCTTCCCTACAGCTGCTGACCCTACAGAGCGGAGAGGGCCACCGGTCAAGGTTCTAGCAGCCGCGGCCACACCACCCGGCTTCTGGCACATGCCACTCGTATCTTTGGGTGCGGGAGTCCAGGACCCCTGATGCCCTCAGCCCCCACCCCAAAACCACTTCCAGCATCTGGAGGATGCACCAACCCCTTTCAAAGACGGGAGGGTGGCGTGCTCTCATGTCACACGTAACGAACATCTGTCTCCCTGCTTTGTGTGGCCAGATGGCGGCCGTCGGCATAACAGAGAACGTGAAGGGCGACGTGAGGAAGTTTGAGATCTGGTACAACGCCAGGGAGGAGGTGTACATTGTACAGGTAGGCCCCGCGTTCTCCCGGGCCAGGCCTCGGGGACATGTCGGGCCTCTCCGGCGAGGGCCGGCATCTGGAAGCTTCCTTGGAGCCTTATCTCCCAGAGGCCTTGTAGGGGGGCTGCCCTGAGCTGGGCCCAGGAGGAAGTATGGGGAACCCACAGTTAGGGTGCACAAAGGGCGTGGCTGGGAACACGGGCTCATGTGTACACACGTGACCAGGTTGTCCTGGTCCTCACGGCCCCCGCCGCGCTGGGGAGGGCAGGAGGTGGTAGGACAGCGAGCACACCCTGAGCCCACGTGACCCGTCCCTGGGGCCTGTGATGGGGTTGGCCAGCGCTCAGGACAGGCCTCTTCGGGTCGCCCTCCACGCTCAGACACAGGGGGGCAGCCCCGTGGGAGGCAGTGGCTGCGGCACGCTGTCCCGGCACGCGCACCAGCACGGCAGGCCCGCGGTGATGGCGCCCGGCTCCAGCTCGGGCACCGGCCCCCAGGAGCTGCAGGGACGGCGGCCAGCACTCTGGCTTTCTGCCGGCCCCGCCTCCAGAGCCCAGCTGTCACTGCCCTCTGGCCGCACACGCGGTACCGAGGCAGGACGGTGCGCGCGCCGCTCGTGCCCTGGGAGCTTCTCCCATCTTCCTCGTCATAAAACGATGCCACGGGCCACTTCCCGGAGAAACGTGCTCCCAAAGGGCGGTTTGTGCCCCAGGTTTCCACTGAGTCCGACGCCAGCGAGGGTGTGGAGGGGGAGGCCGGGCGGTCAGCCCGCCGCCCATGTGGCCCACAGGCCCTCCCGCCGTGTCGTGCCTGTGGCGCAGTCCCAAGGCAAGGGGACCGTCCATCACCTCCTTTCTCCCGGGCAGTGCTCCCATGGTCCGTTCCCAAGGTGGTCCGCAGAAGCTTCAGGAGTAAAAGGAAAAGCAGTGTCTTTAGGGAACGTGCGTTCTCACCTCCTGGCATTCCTTCCCTGCCTCAGGCACCGAGCCCTGAAATCAAAGCTGCGTGGGTGAGTGAGATCCGCAAGGTGCTGACCAGCCAGCTGCAAGCCTGCAGGGGTAAGAGCCGCTGCGGCCGTGAGCTGCTCTTGGCTTTGGCTCCAGGCGCATTTTTGCGCATGTCCAGAGCGCCCCCCAAATTCTGAGCTCTCAGCGGTGCTGCAGCGTGAGGGGTAAAGTCGGTGAGCGGGGCTGTTCCCTCCCTGCAGAAGCCAGCCAGCACAGAGCGCTCGAGCAGTCCCAGAGCCTGCCTCTGCCCGCACCGCCCAGCACCAGGTGAGCGCCTCCAGCCGGGGAAAGTGCGGGTCTGCACGCGCCACCGCGTCCACGCGGCCAGTGACCCGCTTCTCCTTACTGGGGTTTGGGTCACCCTGGGTGTGCCAGAAGGCCCCGGAGTGTCCCCTGGCATTGTGCACTGGGGGTCTGTCCCTGCGGGCCAGCTTCGGGGACAGGGTCTCTGGCCCCACCCTGGGCAGAGGCCAGCTCCTAACCGTCTCTGATTTCCATCTGTGGGTCATTTCCTGTTAAGTCAGCACAGGACGTGCAGCTGGCGAGCGTGACAGCCGCCATGTTTCCGCGACGGTGGCGCCTTGGACAGGGACAGGGGCCGTGGGGGCCGAGGTGCAGAGCCACGCCCGACACACTGGCCTCACGCTGGCTTCATCATGCCTTCTCTGCCCTCAGCTTTCCTGTTACTGTATGCGTTCACGCGGCTTTGTGACTATTTCTCCTGTTTCTGCTGTGAGCCACCTCTGACGCTTGGTGGGACAGGCTATGGTCCAGGGAAATAATGCGCAGCACAACACTTTGAAAAGAGAAAGACCGCCCCCCTGAACTCAGAGAAACCCCCCACCCCCTACTTGCACCCAGCATGTGGTGTTTGTTCTCGTGTGGTTCTGCCCCCGGGAACCCGGAAGGGCTTGAAGGACCCGGTGGGGCCCCAGGGACGGCGCAGCCTCGGATCCTCAGGGAGGACTTGAAACACTAACCTGCAACGTTCTACTTCTACTTCTTTTTCCGGTGTGTGTGACGTCATTAGTCCCTCGAAAGGGAGCACGAGGAACATCAAGAAGTTGGAAGAAAGGAAAACTGACCCCCTCAGCCTGGAAGGATACGTGAGCTCCACGCCGTTGCCGAAGCCCCCCGAGAAGGGCAGAGGTGGGTGTCTGCGCCGGGAGCTGCGTCAAGCGTGTCTGTGAGCAGGCGTGTCCGGGACGCACGGACCACTGCCTGCACTGCGCGCTGGGACCCCCCAGAGAAGCGCCCTTCCTGGCGGCCGGGGTGCCCCAGAGGAGAGCCCGCGTGACCGGACGTGTGCCCCGAGCGCCCCCACACCATCCCTCTCTCTTCCTTTGTAGATGACACGGTCACTAGCTCTACCTCAGAAAGCTCCGCGCTTTCCAGAAAGCGCTTTACTCTGCAGGGCTTTGCTAACCTCAGAGCTCAGAAAGGTAAAAGGCACCCAGCTAAAATCCATGCCGTGGCTGTGCCCCTCACCGTGGTGGCCTGTCTGTCATCCATTCGTGTGGTGCTCATCTGTGTGGGCGGCCGCGGCACCACCACGCGCGGCCGCCCGGCTCTCCCCACCGAACCGCGTGTCCTGGTGCTGGTGTGTCTCTGGCGCACGCAGCCGAGTTCTCTCGGCGGGGCCTTGGGTTTGAAACGGTGGAAGCTGGCTTTTCCAGCGAAGGCTCGCTCAGAAACCGGAGTTGTCATTTGCTTTTCTTGGTTTTCTTGGGGCAGCGCCCCCTGCGCCACCCGCCCCTTTCCTGCTCGGTCCTGTTCGGCCCCCGCGGGTGTCCTGCTTCCCCACCGCGCGCGAGCTGGTGTCGCCTGCCCCTGAGGGGTGGTCGCTAGGCACAGGGCTCCTAGAGGGTCCCTCGCACGGAAATCTCCGAGAGCTGGGCCGCCTTTCAGTGCTGCTTGGCGGTGAGCCATGCGGAGGAACGCACACGGAGGTAGCTCAGGGAGCAAGCACCGGACTCCCTGGCTGAAACTAAAAGCCAGTTTTCACTGGTCCAGAAAACTGGAGGGTTTTGGTTTCAATTTTGTTTCAACTTGTAAAGTAGTGTTAAGTTGGCCTCAAACTTTCAAAAAAAAAGGAAGGACACATTCTGGAACTATATAAGTTGGCTGATGAGCACGGCAAGTATGCATCCTATGCATACTTTTGTGCAGAGTTAACGCACCTACACGTGGCCCCTCGAACCGCGGGTACTGCCTCACCTCCTCCTGCTCTCCGGGGCCTCTCCTGTCCCCCGCGCGAGGGACCGTCCACTAGCTTCATTCTGTTCACAGGAAGCTACTCTGCACAGTGACAGTGAGCCCGCTGGGGGTCTGTGTCCCCTCCCAGCATGAACACTGCTCCTCTCGCCTCCCCCCCACACCCTGCATGCAAGTCCTCACGTATTTTTGCCTCTTCCTCCTTCTGCAGCTTCTCCTACCAGCCCTGACAAAAAAGCTAAGCGACACGAAGTAAAGAGCGACCCAACGCCTTTTGGTTTACGAGGTAGAGTGGCTCCACCTTCTGAACGTAGCCGGACCTCCACTTACCCATCTGGTTAGGGACACTGTCTTGCCCTTGCTCGCCACCGACAACACAAAACAAAATAGGTCTCTCCTAGCCAGGAGCAGATTCACTGTTTTCTCCAAAAGCATGATGCTCTGGCGACAGATACCGTGATGATGGACCCGTCTCAGCTGGACTCGCACCGGGTCTGCCCAGAACCTACAGAACCACCAGGGGCCACCAGTTAGAGGCTGCTGAAGCCTGGCCAGCATGCAGGTTGGGTTGGGCCGTTACAGCGGCCATGCAGGCTGTGGGGCACCCCGTCCTCAGGCCCCTACAGCACCAGCCTCGCCCCGGCGGCACCTGTTGTCTCGAAGCTTCTTGTTGGAAGCACAGAAGGTAGCCACCAATGGGACCCTGCCGACCCCCCATTTCATGGGAGGATGACAGGCTGTACAGACAGGTGGGGCCAAGCTCCATACTGGACCTCAGGTCTTCTACTTTCTGCCCCTCATATCATGAGGGTAAAGCATGTCCCCTCAAAAATCCAAAGACCCCCGCGGCCAAGGCTGAGGGTCTGAAGTTTGCAGGGAGGGATTCACTTTGAATCCTCTTGAATTCTCCAATAATTGTGAAGGTTCCCAAGGGGTGCAGTTGACCTCACACCCCCCAGGACCACCCAGAGGTCACCCAGCACACTCGGCCTTGAGCACAGGTCTGTGTGTCCAGAACCCAGACGGCAGCTCTACACCTCCCCCCGCGTGACAGCTCGGAGGCCAGGGGCTTCCCACAGCCTTCATGTGGGTGGACAGTGCCCAGGGGCCGCCACTGAGGTCCCAGGGCCTAGGACAGGGGTCACTTCTCCATTGACAGCCTTGTTTTCTACTGAAGACCTGGAGACGTTTGAGCGTTGCCCTGGCTGACTTCCCTTGTGCAGGAAGCTGGTGAAAGGGCTTGAGCCCTGCCTGTGGCCACTTGCTCGCGGTTCCTACCGCCTTTCAGCCAAGTTGTGTGTCCTCGCCTGTGATAGGAAGATGCGGCGGCTTCGCAAGGTCACCGTAGACAGGACCTGAGCATGGCACCTGGGGCCCCACCACCAGTCCCCTTCCCTTCCGACTCCTCTGCTCCCCGTTGCCTGCTCTGCGGTGGACGACAGCGAGCCACCAGCCACCTGGGCCCTCTCACAAACGCTTACACGCTTGCCCCCCGAGAAGCTTCATCTGCCTAAAATTTTACTCAGTGTCAATATCAGGGACGATTTTGCAGAGAATAGAGGGGACCACGTTCATGGTCGTGTTGGCGTCATGTCTTACAAACTCGCCAACATCTGCGTAGATCGAGGGGTGCCGTCCGGTTCCAAACACGTCTCCTCGTGCCCCAGTTGGTGCCTCACGTGCGTCGGGCCTCGGTACCTTCCTAACGCCCTTGTTTGAACGTGGTTTTAACGCAGGCAGCTGCTTGAGCCTGTAAAGAGGCTTCCCCCCGAGGCCCCGGGGCAGAGAGGGGAGCAGTACAGGCCCACGTCTGCCTCTGTGTTGCCGGGAGCCCCGTGTGTGGTGGTGGGCTGCAGCAGGAGACCCCCCAGCCAGGCTGCCTGGCACTGGGGCCCCAAGGCCCCCCACCGCCTGTGCCCCATCTGCCCTTGGCACGCTGTGCACACCCCCAGACGAGCAAGGGTGCGCATGGCTGGGTGGTTTGCAGCAGGAAACCCAGTGCCCCATCCCTGCACAGACATCAGCCCCCCGCCACTCGCCCTGCGGCCCAGCCCTGAGAAGACCAGGCTCAGGGGCTCTCCGACGCTGGGCCTGCTGGTGTGGAGTGGGGTCCTGGGGCTGCAGGGGCCTCTGTGGCTCTCACACTCTTCCTTCCAGGCTCAGCACTGCTGGCTGATGGGGAGCTCTAGGCCCCAGCTCTCTTCCTATGAAAACGAGACTCCTTGTGTCCCTTTAGCACAAGTGTTTCATGGCCAACTTGAAACACCACAGGCCTCGGGGACAGGCCTGTCCAGCAGCTTGCCTCACAGAGGGGAGCGAGCCCTTCGTCCTTGGGGAAAGCACACTTGCCCCAGGCCACATGGTGTCTGGAACTGGCGTGCCAAGCCCATAGCCAGCGCGCGGTCTTCCCACCGACCCGAGGCTGTACCCGTGGTCCTCATGCCACAGGAGTGGGCTCCACCTCTCACGTTACTGTTGGCATTTATGGTGTTGGAATCGGGAATCCGTCACCCCCGGTCTCCCCTCGCTTGTGTTCTTCCCAAAGTTTCCCCCAAATGGGAAATATAGGTGTTATTCTTTGGGGTTGCAGGGCAGGGGAAACACTGATGAGGGGACATGCGCACATTTCATAAAGTCCCCAGAAGTTCTCTCCCCACACGTGCTGGCCCAGCCGCACTCTGTGGCCCCAGAAGTGCAGAGGTGTGACTCGGGTCTGTGTGCGGCGTCTGCTGGCCTGTGCCGTGAGGTACCCTGACCTCATGGGCCAGGATGGTGCCGGCACAGGACACACGCCGCACGCCTCAGCTGCTGCTGTGAGGAGTGGTCCTCCAGGCGGTGTGATGGGTGTGCATGCTAGGCACTAATTGCAAACTCCTTCCTTCTGGCGGTGTTTGCTCCAACACGGATGGATGGTGGCATCTACGACTGGTGATATTCAGGGCTCTGTGCTCCCTGCGTCTGCAGGGGCATCACGGCAGAGCCTGTGGGATCACCTCCCTGAGGGGCTGGCTTCACTGCCTCCCCTGGGCTGGCCTGGCGATGCAAGCCAGTGCTCGGGGCCTCCCTGGACGGTGCACAGTGGGGGCACGCATATTAGCAGGCATTCTGGAAGTCCGCCATGTGTCCAGCTCCGGGGAGGGGGCAGGCCCCTCCGGGCGCACGTTGCAGGGTGGCGGGAATTGTGCAGACCACCTTCAGACAGGCTTGTGGTTGAGGGTGGTCCTCACTGGAGTCTGTTCTCTCTCAGGTTGGAGCAAAACGTCTCAGCCCTCGGAGGCCCCTGAGGACAATGACGGCTGGTCCAGTGCCGAGGAGCTGATTAATTCCTCAGATGCAGAGGAGGAAGGCAGAGTGGGCGCCAGGAAGCTGGTAACCTTGGGTCCCCCGGGGCGGTCAGCCCGGTACTGCTGGCCCCCGGGTGGGAGAGCTCCAGGGTGCGACCGTGGTGGTGCCGTGGCTCTCGTGGCCACTGGGTGGGGGAGGGACTCTCAGGTACCAGGGCTCGCTGTGGCTCTGTGCCCACTCCCCTCCACCGTCAGACTCCCAGCAGACAGGCTCTCTCGCTCACACCTGATCTGCCCTCCAGACGAGGAGGATGCCCTTAGGACCATCCACAAAGCTGTGCGTATGGCTCTCCCTCACTTTTTGGAGAACTCAACTGTTCGAACGCGGATTTGGGTTCCAAACAGGCCCTTTCTTTAACACAAGCTGCAAGGAGAAGCCGTTTACGCATGAACCATCAGAGTGGGGGTTACGCTGACAGATACTTAGTGCACACTTGGCGCTGTCCTGGTCCAAGCTCCAGGGCTCCACAGGGCAGCGCTTCGTCCGTGTGAACATGCTGAGCATACACTGGGGGCCAGGCAGTCTAGACACCAAACACAGAGCAGAGGACAAAAGATACAAGTCTCCACTCTCACAAGGAGGCAAAGTAAAAGGTGGTCAAATACAGGCGGGCGTGTTAGGTAAGGATGGGAGCCAAGGAAGGGGAGGTCGTTCCAGGAGGAGGGAACGGTAAGTGCTGAGGTTCTGGGATAGAGGGCTGTGTTTGAGGCCGGCTGCAGCGAGGCCAGACCACCAGCCGTGAGCCAGGGGCGCTGTACTGGTTGGTTGGGTTTTTAACACGGTGGCAGTGAGAGACTTGGCATCTTCTTACGACCAGGAGCTCTTCCTGTTTAAGGTGACAGTCCCATCAAAAGCCCCACAAACAGCAGGGCCCTGACGAAATGCTCATTGTCCTCCTGTTGCTGGACGCCCCCCCGGGACCTTGCCTGCAGCGGACAGCCGCTGCGGCCTCGCTCGGTGTGGGGGCCGCGGACTGTGCCCTTTGATGCGCCGTGTCCTCCGCCACCAGGTTCCAGGAAAGTACACGGTCCTGACGGGCGACGAGAAGGAAAGCCCCGACGCGCTTGCCGTGAGAAGTGGGGACGTGGTGGAGGTGGTCCACGAGGGCGACGAGGGCCTTTGGTAAGATGCCGGCCGTGGGCTCAGGCCCAGGATGCCCATGGGGACGGGGGACACACAGCTGGAGCCCTGACCGGCCCACGCCCCTTTCAGGTATGTCAGGAACCTGACCTCCAGCAAGGAGAGCTGGGTGCCGGCCAGCAGTCTGTCCACGCTCCTCAGCACGTCCGGCTCGGCTCAGTGCCTGAGCAGCTCAGGTAAGACCCCCACCCCGCGTGGGCCGCGCCCCGAGCCCGCGGGGTTCCACAGCCGTGCGCTTGAGTGTGCAGATGCACAGCCGCAGCCGTTCTTGCCTGGTTTTCCCGCAGAGTCCAGTGCGGGGTCCACCCTGCTGAGCACCTCCTCCAGCTGCAGCGAGAGCTGTGGGGCCCCCCTCTCAGACCTCCAGGGGTAGCGCCGGGCCCTGCAGGAGGCCGTGCAGCCTGTGAGCCTCTAAGTTTTCCTTTGCTTGGGCTTGCTTAGTTTGGTGAGGGGACGGTGCTCTAAGACCCTGGGGAAGGAGGACCCTGACAAGACCCCGAGGAGCCGCCTGCCGCCCACGGAACTTCGAGGTGCAGACGCAGGGGCCCGCAGAGGGAAGGTTCTGGAAGATTCTGCCCTGCGGCCTCCACGCCAGGACCACCGCCGACGAGGGTGCAGAAGCCAGTTGCACAGGAGGACCAAGGTACACTGAGCTTTCCGGGAAAACCAGGACGGAACGAGGGCGCCAGGCCGTGGAGAGGAGCCCGTCCCAGCCGCTCTGCGTGGTTCCAGGCATTTCTGGTCTGGTGCTTCCTGCAGGAATAGGCGTATGTTGTGGGAGTGACGAGTCCATTGACCCAGCAGCTCGGTGGGGGGACTGTTTTGTCTTTTACAAGTTTTTTTTAAAGCAGGGATTAATTCCATGGCCATTTTTTGTGGTACTCTGGCCGCTAATCTTTACCAAGAATCACTGTGTTTACATGAAATGACAATTTGATACTGTATTTGATACAAAACTATTTTGTGTTACCGGGGTTTACACAACAGCACGTTGTTTATACTGCTGGGAGGTATGGGGGCTCTCGTGGGGACGGAAGCCCTCGCCAAGGCCCGCCTGGCCACAGGCGGATGAACACACGTCCCCC